CTTGATAAAACAACCCCAAGTTTTATCCATCTGTCACTTTCTTCATATGTTGCATTCAAAATAGTTAATGAGAAAACGATTATGGTTCTCATGGTGGCACTGACAAAGATGCATGAAAAACCTTCTGCTTCAAATAAGATTTTTCTGATGAAGGGGTTATTCAATATGAAGACGGCACGAGAGGGTCTAGTGGTTAAAGACTTGAATAACTTTAACACTATAATTAGCTTGGGTGATGTGAATATCAAGTTGTCAAATAGAACATTCTATAAGTTTTGTGAAGTTAAAATGTTTGAAGTGTAACGATAAATACGATCTTTGTTAGCCAGCTAACAAAGTCAGGCTATTTGACTGCTTTTATAGATGACTCATGGAAGGTGACTAGAGGTCAGGAGTGATACCTTGGGGCAACATTGAAGGCACTATTTACTAGATCAACCAAACGTCATATTCCATTGAGGTGGCTAGAGCAAAGATGAATGCAGGTCTGTGGCACTACGGGCTTGGTCATATGAGCGAGAAATATATGAAGTTTCTACTATCAAAAAATAAACTTTTGGGTTTGAAATTTAAAAAAATGAATTTCTATGAAAATTGTGTATATGACAAACAAAAGAAAGTTTATTTCTTCAAAAGAAGGTTAATGGTGAAGTTAAAGCAATTTGAGTTAGTATATATTGAAATATGGGATCATACTCCAGCTCAATCCATTGAAGGTTCCAATAACTACAAATGAATTCAAGATTAAATTATGGGACAATCAGAATAAGATTTTCATTACAAGCAGAAATGTTATATTCAATGAAATGGAGATGTGTAAGGACAAGATCAGAATTTAAAATTTTCAATCAGTTACTTCTAAAATGTTCATATATGTTGAGATAGAAGATATTGGTGATCGAGAGGGAAGAAAAAGAGGAAGCACTCAATCTGATGAAACACAAAAATTTCCTCAGTCACCTGCTACTAAAGTCAAGAGATCCAGCAACATGTCCTTAAAATTTGTATTAAATGTTTGGAAATGTTTGTATTTTACTTGATAATAGTATGCTTTGAGAAATGTTTTGGGTTGTTTTGCAATTTGCAGTGGAAAGAGGGTCAAATGGGACTTAAACAAATTGAAGCGGAGAAATTAGTGATCTGGCGCTTAAGCGTCGGGTCCATGCCGCCTTGGTGCCAGTCCATCCCCAAGTTGAGCCAAATCTCAAGAAGACAGAAAGGTGGTGTCGCCCCTTAGGCGCCTAAGCACTACCATCGGTGCCTAGGCGCTGCAATCACGGCGTCATGGCTTCAATCCCTTATGGAAAATATTTCAAGTGAATGGGCCTAAGTGCACAGACCCGATTTTGATAGTTTTGGCAGCTCCAAAACTTGAGTTCATATGGAGATGTATAAAAGTTATGTTCCCAAATTAAGGACGGCTTTACATCATTTTTCTTTTGCATTCTGGGAGTGGAATTAGAGGAGAAGCCTAAAACGATCAATCAAGTAGAGAGAATGGAGAGTTTAAGAGATTTTTGTGATTGTATGCTTGTAATTTCAGCTTCTCAAGAGTGAAGGAATGGAGATAAGTTATAATTTTTGTTTTGTAATTGATTCCATTTTCTATGTAAGAATTTTTTACTAATATTTCTCTTTCAATCAAATAATCAAGTTGGTATGTTTAAGAATGTGTAGTGAGTAAACTTTTCATTCTTTATTGGGATGGGGAGATATGAGAGATAAATGTGAAAGATTATTTATAGATTGCGTTGACTAATGATGGATGATGATTAACATATTGCACTTCATGTATATTTCATTTGGCTGAGTGAGGTGTTAATATTTGTCATTAGTACAAATCTTGAAAAAGATTGTAATAGAATTGACAAGAGTTAATCAGATTAATTTGGTGGAATATGGATATTTATACTAAATTTATGCCAACTTATAAGAAGATATGATGCATGAGGTAAAGGTTAGTATAAGGGAACTAATCTTATTTTTAGCTATTCTTTTTTATTCCACCAAAAAGGGGATAAGGAAGGATTTTGCTTCGGTTTGTCATCCATATATTCAATTAACTTTCGCATTCATTGACTTATTGAACCATTCCAAGGAAGAACTTAACCCAATTTTTCCCAAAACACAAGATGACTCACCCTTGGTCACCGGAAGCTCCAAATAGGTGGAATATGGCCTCTAAAGCACCATAATGGACATCAAGTTGTATGTGCCAAAATTTACATCGCCTCATGGTGAATTCTCCATGGTATGGTTGAGTTAGTACCAATCCTGATTCTGTGCTTGAGGCACATACCAAGAGAACCTATCAGATGTCTTAGACTATGGAAAATTGAAGAAACTCCTATATCATTCACATGGACATCCCGGGCATGTGACATCAAAAATTGATGTCAATATTTGCATATTGATATGGTCTCCCTATGATCATCACCACCATTAAATATGGATCACAATTCTTCAATAAAAAGATTAAAAAACTTTGTTATGCTCAAATAATTTTCCACAACTTCACCTAGTGCATCATTATCAACATAATGGGTATGTGGAGGTTGTTAATGAGTTCATTAAAAATTTATTAAAAAAAAGGTTAAAAGAACTAAAGGTGGTTGGGTTGTTGAGCATCCATCAGTGCTTTGAGTTCTGAGGATGACTTTATCTTCATTCATAGGACATAATCCTTTTAACTTGTCCCATGGCTTGAAAAGTTTGCTTTCAGTAAGGTCTGATCCCTTCAATTATAAGAGTGGTGGCCACCTTTAACATTGAGAAAGATGAGTTGCCTGATTGGAGGAAAAAACAAAAAAAAAAAAAAAAAAAAGGAATGCAAAATTGTAATAAGTCTATTGGAAGAACCAAGGGTTGAGGTCTCAATAAGATAGGAAGTGGTTATTTACAGTGTGGATAAAGAGAATGTTTTTCAAGAAAACATTACATCTACTGTAAGTGATAAATTTTTTATCATATATTCTCTCATTATTATAACCACCATGACCCGAATATTTCAAAAGACATCTAATTATCTAAAATAAAGGAAATGAAAATTGTAAGTATGAATATGAGCGCACTTAATCAAAAATCATCATAGCTAACCAACAACCAAGAAGAAACAAAATACCAATTAAGAAAATAGTGCATTTACCTTATGACTTATTCTTATAGATTAAATAAAAAAGAATCTATCACTACTCACCACTAAGAATGAACTTAACAAAAATAAACAAATTATAAATTATTTGAGATAATTTCAGCCCTAACCAATTGTTGTAAAATAATCTCACTTTCAGGCAAGAACTCACTTAAGCTTAAGAACTATATGAAGTTATGGATAATAGAAAACTAGGGCTTTAACTCAGAGAACCTCTTAGCAAAGTGTAGCAAATGACTCATCAAAAGAAAGGGTTGCCATTTCTTGTCTGAGGGAAAGATGTTTATGCTTGCTCTAAGCTTGGCAAATTATTAATCTTTAACTCACACGGATAACCACAGATAAACTAACATCTCCCTAAACTTAGCTCCATCAAATTATAAACATTCCACCAGCGTAAGTAGAGTGTATCTATGTGATATACATATTATAGAAGAGGCAACATAAGCTTCTTAGACTTGCTCTTCTTGAAGAAAGGCCAATTGTAGTCTCATATATTTATTTGCGTCAACATCGACAGCTAAGATTGCCTCGAAAATAATCTGAGTGCTATGAAATAATAAAAATCTTTATCTTTTTAATTAATAAAAGTAATAAATATCTCATGCATTTTTCTTATTTTTTTTGCAAGTGGCTCTCCAAAGATACAAGAGAAGCTAGAAATTAAGCTTAATTAAAATGTACATTACAAGATAGTAATAGGGACACATCTAAACATATGTGCACTCACGTAAAACAGAGGATAGTCGCTCTAGCTCAACAATATTAACCTTGTTCAAAAAGGCTCACCCAACTCTGATAGGCTTGCCTTGGCTTAAATAGTGCTTGCCTAAATAGAGAAACTCACCCACCTCAGTTGGACTCACTGCCTCTCACAAGACACTTACCCCACTAAGCCAATCAGGCAGCTCCATCTAATTTATCAACAACTCCACCTATCAGCATGTAGAAGCTTTCGAATTACAGGCCAAGACAACAACTCCACATATATTTATTTATTTATACCACTTGTTTGAACCAAAGCAAAAGGAAGCACTCACTAATTAAGAGCATATTATTATTAACGACTTATATTGTAAATATATTGTAAATAAAACTGTCCTATGTGGTTCCATGCAATTGCCCACCTGAACTTGGATGCTCTCTTTTAAATATTTACTGAGTTCTGAATAATACCTTGAAAATATGTTTATTTTTGCATAGCTCCCAATACACAGTCACTATTGATTACAACATATGACTGATGTAGTGTTGATATAGAGTTGGTAATAGATATATACATAGTGATATGCAACATTCGTATAATGTTGATACAAGAAAAGATCTAATTCTACAACATATTAAATCATCTTTTGAATGACCTAGAAGCTCTCATTAAGGATTAAGAATCAACGGACATACCATATTACCTACCAAGCTCAGCCTGCTGAGCCGATCTTGTCGACCAGAATCAAACTAAACAAAGTTGGTCAAGCCAGAAAATAGAATGACAAGCTCATACATGTAAAATATTATAAATATCTCAGTACGAAGCCTTCTAAAACATAGGCAAAAATGTAATATTATTGTTGTATCATTTTCTATATAAGTATAAATAAGACAAGACGGGTTAAACTTCATTCTCTCTCTCTCTATCTCTCTAACTCTCTCACACTTTCTCTCTCTTCTTCTCATGAGATAACTATAATATTATTTCTTTTATTGCTCTTATATCTTAGACCATGTCAATAGCGTTCATCCATACAGAGAATTGAATGCCAAAACTCTAATAAATTCAATGTTATTGTTAGCATTGAGGAATTCACTAAAATTTCTTTTGTGGCATTGTATCAAACACGTGGTCAACTGGGCCAAACAAGACCAGGTCAATCAAAAAACCTGGTCTTCCGCTCAAACCGAGATCCTTAAGCAACGCGGAGAAGGAACAAACTAGCCCAGTTATTATTTCCTTCATCCCTTCCCACCTCGCCTTCCCCCAAAATCCCATAATCCCAATCCCCTTTGCTTTCTCCCCCAATTACACCACAGAAATCCACAAGCAAAGAAATTAAAGGAGCCCAAACTTCAAATTCTTCCTCATGGATTCCGCCTCCACCGCCGTCATCAACCCCCTCTTCTGCACCCCTTACCCCATTGACCTCGCATTCACGACAAAGCCTCCAGGACACAAAAAGAGCGGCCCGCTCGCCGCCGTTGATGCCGCCGGTAACGTTCTCTTCAGAGCCCAAGATTCCTCTTGGGGCGGTTTCACCCAGCTCAGCGATGCCGCCGGGCATACCATACTCACCATGAAAGCAAAGGTCAGAACTTTACTCTTCTTTTCAAGTCTAAGAAGGTAAATTTATAAACTTTGATGTTGGTCATGCAGTTTCGCACCATGCACCATAGATGGCAAGCGTTCAGAGGGGAAAGCACGGAGGGGACAGATCTTTTGTTCACCTTAAGAAGAAGCTCTGCTTTCCAGCTTCATGACGAGTGGTTCGTCTTCCTTGCAGCCAACGCAAAAGAAGAAAACTGCGATTTTAAGATAGTAGGAAGTTACAGCAAGAAAAATTACACCATTTATAAAGGAGACTCATCCTTTGTTGTAGCTCAGGTAATTCAAACTTACTGACAGAACCTCAAATGAGTTCAGATAAATTATAAGATCTTCGAACAATTTCTCAAAGTTTACAGATGCAGCAGAATTTAGTATTAATTGTAATAGATTTGCTTTCAGCTTCTTACTGATGGCTAAAGTTTTTGTGGATAAATGCAGCTTAGTAAAGAGCATAAACTGAATTTGGAGCTGGAGAAGCACGCATTTGGAGCAACGATAACAGCGAACTGTGATTATTCTTTTGTTGTAGCTCTGATTGCAATATTTCATGTGGTTTATGCTATTGATGCTACCATGAATGCTGTTATCATTGGAGCAACAGTAGGAGCAGCGAGCAGCTAAGCTTGGAAGCTGAAATTTTGACATTTCTATCAGTACTGTAAATTTACTCGGATTATTGATTGAAAAGGCTGTTCTGCTTTAAAGATCTTTGTTTACATTTAATTTTTTTAATTCTTTTATTATTATTATTTTTAATTTTTTTGGTTGTGGTTATGTTCGAAGATGGCTGGAACCTCATGATTGTTGAACGCCTGAGAATTATGTGATGCATTTGAGAACTCGGCTAATTTAAACAGGCAGAAATATTGCAATTTTTTGCTTTGCCTACATCAAATTTGCACTTTTTTTTTTCGAAATAATAATCATAAAATGTGTTGCTTGAATTCGTGATATTTTAAACATAATTCTCTATGCAATCTATCATTAAAACATTAATGTGTGCTTAGTTATTCGAAATTTCAAAAGAAAGAAATATTGAAATATTTCATGCACACTTTACATGGAGAAAATATTGTGTTTGGAATACGTACCTGTTGCCTGTAATAATACAAAGTCCTTTGTAAAGTGGTGAAACCCAATTTTGCAAATTAAAAAAATAATAAAAAAAGTTATTTTTTTATACGACCGACCCGAATACTGCACGTTGCATTGCAAAAAAATCATCATAATACTAACAATAATACTGATAGTATTTTGGTAGTATTTTGGTGTTATTATGGTAGCATTGTGATGATATTCTTGTAGTATTCTAATGATATTTTGGTGGTATTCAGGTGGTATTCAGATGGTTTTATAATGATATTTTTATGGTATACTTGTAGTATTATGATGATATGTTGGTGGTTTTCTGGTGGTGTTATGGTAGTATTATAATGTTATTATGATGATATTCTGATAGTATTCTGATGATATTATGGTGATTTATGGTGATATTCTAGTGGTATTATTATAGTATTTTGGTGGTATTCTAATATACCAGCAGAATATCCCAAGTATACCACTGAAATATCATCAGAATATCATTAGAATATCATCAGAATGTCACAAGAATACTTACATAATAATACATTAATATCACAATGATACTACCAGAATATCATCATAATACCACCAAAATATTACAATAATATTACTATAATATCAATAGAATCACACCAGAATACTACTAGAATATCACCAAAATATTATCAGAATATCACTATAACACCACTAGTATTTTTGTTTGTATTATGAATGTTTTTTTTTTCGATGCAACGGGTGGTTCTCGGGACGTGTTGTGTGAAAAAATAGTTCTTTTCACTTTTTTTAATTTACAATACTGTGTCCCACCACTGTGCTATATTATTGGAGTATGCAGGTACATACTCTGGACTTAATATTTTCTCCCTTACATGAGGATAAGAACTGCTATTTCGGGATAAGAACTGACTCTTTCGGGATGTGGCTTTCTTAGAAAGTACCTCCTAAATAAATTAAACTAAATTAAATGCCCGGGTCTAATTACAATACATATTAAATAAAAAAAATATTTAAATATATTTGACTGTATACATATTTATGGATTATGTATGTTGTTATTCATATATTTATATTTTTATAAATTTAATTATATATATATATTAGATTATGTATACATAAATAATGTCTGTAATTTTTAAGTAAGAAGAGCATTTATGTAATTTGATAAAAGCTAAATTTTCAAAAGCAGCCCTACATAAATGAAATTAAAGTCTTATGTATCGATAAAAATGAAATTTCTAGGTTATGACATATCTAACACCTAAACATGTCATACATACCTACACATATATACATGCATTTGGTTTGAAGACAAAGAAGATAACACAAAAATTACTCACTCACATATCTTCTGAAAATGCTACAAAAAGTTTTCAAGTCCTTAACTTTAAAATATTTCAAAATACTTGAATCTCTTCACAAGTCCCCCATAATTGTAACACAAAAGCAATGAACAGCATTAACTAAAATAAAAAAAATTGATAAGAAATTTGTCATCTTCAATGTTTTTTCTTGATTATGACATCTCTTACTGGTATTTCTGCAAAATTGTCAACTAATATTTGATAAGCCACTTTATTCATGCATTTGAAAAAGTAGCAATCATTATTGAGGGATTTCTTGGGCACCGGTAAGAAATTCCTCCAAAGCTTCTATTTTTATAAAATGTATACGCTGTTGAGGAGGTAGATCCATGAGACCCGTCACTGACAAAGAGGTGTAATGCTTATATTTTAATATGCCCTGAAATCAGTAAAGCTGCATACGAAAGGTAATACATAAAGACAAACAGAAAAAAGGTTTTTATGAGCTGAACGGTAGGATGGAGTCTGTTGGAGATCAAACGGCTCTGCTTCCTGCTAGATGAGAAGCACGGCTGGCAGCAGGGGAGGGGAGCAGAGGTTGTTACACAGGGCATACTCTTCTTACCATGAAGCCAAAGGTAACAACTTTATAGTTAGTTCTATTGAATTATATGACATAATATATTGTTTACACAAGCATCTCTTCTTCTTCTTCTTCTTCTTCTTCTTCTTCTTTCTCTTTTCATTTCTTCTCTATCTTTTGCTTCAATTTTGAACCTTGCACTGCAGATGGCAGGCGTTCAAGAGGGACAGCTGTTAGCGCTGGCGTGGAGTCCGGTCCACCCAACCCGCGAACACCCGCTCCCGCCTCTCCTTCTGTTTTCGCGAAACGACGTTTCCGATCGCGAAGGGTCACACCTCTTCACAAATAACTACTCCCTCATTTCTTTTTTTGCGAAGTGAAACATCCATTCGCCAGAAACCGTTCCCGCCTCCTCTATTTCGCGAAGAGAAGCATCCCTTCGCTCCCTTCTCTTCGTGAAAAAAGGAGAGGCTCTCCTTCATATCTGGATGACACAAGAAGTCACGATTTTCTTCTTTAGGTTTCCTCGGGATAGAGGAAGAGTTCTTCGGGTTTCCACGGGACAGTGGAAGAGAAGAAGTGCAAGGAAGAGTAGTTTTTTGCGGCAGAAGGAAGAAGAAGGAAGAAAAAGAAGAAGATTGTTCTCCCTAGGCTTCTTCTTGGTGGCTTGTGGCAGAAGAGAAATTGAGTTTATTTCTCTTGTAAGTTTGTCTTCTTCGGTGTATCTCGGTGTAGAGTTTTCTTCGGTGTATCTCGGAGTAGAGAGAGAAGAACAGAGAAAGAAGAAGAGATAGAGCAATGAAGAGTGAGTGATTCCTCTTGTAAGTCGCGGTGATCGAATGGTGTAAATTTCCTCAATTAGTAAAATCCTCTGCAACTCCGTGGATGTAGACAATTTGTCGAACCAAGTAAATCTGTGTGTTCTTTTATGGTGTAATTTTTCTCGTTCTATTTTTCGCTTCGTCGATCGTTCTCCTGTTTGATTTATATATATACCACATCAACTGCTCTGGTATATATATTTCATAACAATTGGTATCAGAGCTTTGCTCAGATCTGAGGAAGAATGATGGCTGCAGTGAAGTAAAAGTTTCAGGGATCGAGAAATTTGATGGCACAGATTTTGGTTATTGGAGAATGCAGATAGAGAATTATCTTTATGGGAAGAAATTTCATCATTCGTTATTGGGGAAAAGACCTGAAAGGATGGATGAGGCTGAATGGAATTTGTTGGATCGACAAGTTCTGGGGTTATTCGATTGACTCTATCGAGGTTTGTTGCACACATCGTCGTCAAGGAAAGGACGACTGCAGATCTCATGACAGTCTTATCAGGTATGTATGAAAAGCCATCGACGAATAACAAAGTGCACTTGATGAAGAAGTTATTCAATTTGAAGATGGCGTAAGGTGTTTCTATTGCTCAACACCTGAATATTTTCAATACTATCACAAATCAATTGTCGTCTGTGAAAATTGATTTTGATGATGAGATATGTGCACTGATCTTGTTGGCTTCATTGTCATACAGTTGGGAAGCCATGAGGATAGCAATTAGCAGTTCTGCAGGTAAATCTAAACTGAAGTACGATGATATTCGTGATTTGATTTTGACTGAGGAAGTTCGCAGGAAAGATTCTGGCGAGGTCTTAAGTTCGAGTTCGACACTGAATGTTGATTTCAGAGGGAGATGGCATGACAAGAACTCAAGGATAGGGAGATCAAAATCAAAGTTTAGTAAGCAGACAACCTGTTGGAATTGTGGCACGGCTGGCCACATAAAGAAGAACTGCAGGAATCCTAAGAAGAGGGAAAATGATAGCGCAAATGTGGTATGTGAAGAATCACATGATGCATTTTTGTTGGCAGTTCATAGTTCTGTTGAAGACTTGATGTTGGATTCAGGGGCTTTGAATGTGGTAGAAAATCTACCAAAGGCCATAGTGCAGGGCAGTGATGGAAGTGAAGAAGAGAGTGGGTCCGGGGCACTCATTCCTATTGTTCCACAGAAAGATGTTACAGAACCACAGAGCTATGCAAAAATCTTGCAAGATAAAAATTTGAGCAAGTGGGAGCTGACAGAACTTCCACCAGGGAAGAAGGCATTGCACAACAAATGAGTGTACCGAGTGAAGACTGAGCGTGATGTCAGTAAAAGGTACAAAGCTAAACTTGTTGGAAAAGACTTTCAGCAGAGGCAGAATGTTGTCCATGTTGTCCATGCAGTGGGAGTTGTAGTTATAAGAAGAGAAAAGAGTGACCCAGAAAATAGCTTGGAGGTGCAAAACTATGTGGAGCCTACTGATATGTTGACTGAGGGTGTTACTCTAGAGAAACTGAAGTTGAACACAGCTTTAGTTGGTTTTCTGAAGTGAAGACAGAGGCTTTGAGTTGAAGAGGTGGAGGATTCACAGTGGAGGATTCAAGGTAGAGGATTCAAGTTAGAGGATTCATGGTGAAGGATTCATGTTTGAAGTAAAGGACGACGCTATCAGTGGAGGATTCAGTTCGAGGAAGGAGACGTCGTAGCAGGTGTACCGATCTCCAAGTGGGAGATTCTTAGCGCTGGCGTGAAGTCCAGTCCACCCAACCCGCGAACTCCCGCTCCCACCTCTCCTTCTGTTTTCGCGAAACGACGCTTCTGATCTCGAAGGGTCACACCTCTTCACAAATAACCACTCCCTACTTTCTTTTTGCGAAGAGTCGCGTCCTCGTCTCCTCTATTTCGCGAACAGAA